GGGTTTAGGGTTTTGGGTTTTGGGGTTTAAGGTTCAGGGTTTAGGGTACCCGAAAAACATAGGACAGCCAGAGTACAGGTTTGATGGTGTGGGTTTAGAGGATCCTACAGATGGACAGTTCCCTTCTTAGCGGGATTTCTCAAAGCAAAATCCCTAGAATATCAACCTTCGCATGAATCCCTATAAGCCTAAACCCTAAATTCCTAAACCCTACATTCCTAAACCCTAAACCCCGAAACCCTAAACCCCAAACCGGGCCCTTGGGGTCCTCACGGGCCGCCTTTTCTTGAGAAGACCGAGGAGCCTGAGCGCACAAGCAGTGGGCTATGGATGGCTGGAAGGCGACACCTAGACACCAGGGTTTAGGGTTTAGGGTTTAGGGTTATAGACACCACCTGGAACGCCAAATTACTTACAGCTTAAGAGTAGTTGGTACGGGGATCCAGAAGACTGCAGGTGATATGGGTTGTAAACTCTACGCCCTCAGACCTTAATCCTATATGCTAAGTCCTGCAACCCGAAACCCTCAGCCATGAATCCCCGCCCTAACTCTTAAACCCTAACGTTCCAAAGACCCAAATAATAGGGCTTTAGGGCCACAATACCATTAATTAGTATAGTATTTGGGCCCTAAAACCCTATTATTTGGGTCCTTGGACCCTTAGGGAAACCCTACCAAGCCCTAAACCCCAAACCCACGAGGTGACGACCAGTCCGCAGAGAAGGCAAAGGCGTCTGAGATGCAGTCGGACATGGGAGAAGGTTGGACCTTCAGCACGCACCTTCTGCTGCTTTGGGGGTCTTTTGGGTGGGGGTGGTGGGGGTGGGGGCAGCGGAAGGTTAAGGGCATAGGGTTTAAACCCTGAACCCTAAACCCTAAACGCTAAACCTTGGGCATAGCGATTATAGGCGGCGACTCAACTTCTTATTCCAAATTTGGACCCTACCTAAACCCCAAAAGTATGTAAGATAATAGCCCTAAACTCATAAGAATAGCCCTATAAAGGCCATGGTTTTACACACTTCTGGGGGTCCAGGTAATGTTTACAATAAGTTCCTACCTTGGGCTATTTGGATTTTAAGGGGGTTCTGGCATGTAATTATATGGGGGGTTCCAGAATTAGGAGTAGGTATTTATGGAAACTACCAGGTTTTCCCATTGCTTTTGGATGCTGGCTGGGTAAGGCATAGATTGGTCACCATTTCAATGTGGGATCTGCTGGCGCCATATCTTCAGGCGCGGGCGCTGGACACTATAGATTCTGGGCTGCTCTTAAGGAACCCCAATCAACTTCCCAGAGCATGATATTAATTTTGACGCGCTATGCTTTCACCTATTGCCACCTTTTGTCAAGTCCCTGAACTACAACCCAGGATTTTCTGAGCCTGGATATCGAAGGTCAGGAGGACGCTGTTTTAGAAGCCTTTTTCGAAGAATCTGACCGGCGCAAGCAGCCCCTCCTGATTCGGGCCATTGCCGTGGAAGTCATCGGGGAGCAGAAGGTCCTGGACCCCAAACGAGGGTTTATTGGGTTTAGGGTGAAGTTAATAATGGCCCAAGTACTGTAAAATGCAAACAATGAACCCTAAAGCCCCTAAACCCTACACTATATACGTAAACACCATACTCAAACCATGTGGGTGGTTGTCAAAATTATGGTCCCGTTTTGGGTACCCTAAATATTAGGTGCCGTATTAAAACAGGGGGCCAAAAAGGGACCATAATGTTGACAACCACCCATGTGCAAACACCATACACCTTTAATCCCAAGGTCATAAGCCTCAGAAACTTACCTCTGGGTTTGCAGAGATGAAAAGGGACCCTTGTAGAAGTCCCTATCTGCACTGTAGTCTGAACTCTCTGAAAGGGGGCTATATAGGGGATTATAGAGGGAGAGTAAGGGGGATACTCGGGATTTAGACTATTCATATGATCCCCAAAGAAGATTGTAGTTCCCATTTCCGTGTCCATTCCCTTTTTTCGCGGCTATCCAGAGGCAAGCTGCATCCTCAACCCTCAGGGTTTAGGGTCTAGGGTTTCAACCCTATGTATCCCCGTAAGCCTCCAATTTCCATTTCATGTTCCCTTGTATTTACCACTTGAGTCTCCATTGTTAGGATGATATCCCTATATAATGCTCATATATCCCCCATATAACCCTCACAGAAACCCCACATGTACTACTGCTATGTAATCCCTACCCTTATGTAAACCCTATATAGCAACGGAGGAATGGAAAGCCCCCAGGTCCAACGGATCCAAAATATTCTGGAAAGCCGCGGCTATGCGCTGGCCAAAGCAATTTGGCTACCTTTTGGTTACGTAAGGATTCTACAGGGATTCTATAGGAACATAGAAAGGACTGTATGGGGTTTAGTAGCTCTACTTCGGGATTTTGCAGGGATATTATCCCCATGATGGAGAACCACATGGACAAGGACAGGGAGAATCAAATGGAAACTTGGATTATCGAGTGGTTTGTACGGATTAGAGTATTGGAGGTATATGGGGTTGATGTAAACGTCCTTTGGGAAATTTGCTCAAGGATCCTGTGGGCTTATCATGAAAATAGAAGGGAAACGTCTTTCTGTAATGGCCTTTTGGGGACCGGGAAATTGCATGAACTACCCCTATGGGTCCAAGGACCCAAACAGGGCTTTAGGGCCCAAATACCATTATGTCATCGTATTTGGGCCCTAAGAGCAATTATTTGGGTCCTTGGACCCTTAGCATAATGGACCGGGGAATTTCATCAACTGCCGTATGGATTTCGGATTAATGGGTTGAAAGGCTTGGCTTGGCCGCAGAATCTGAATTTCACGCCAGGACAGTGCCTGAGCACAGCAAAATACAAGGCCTGCCAGTATATAGTCCCCTTGAGTAGATAGAATATGGGGTATATAGGATCTTACCATGATCTTAGGCAAATGCATATTCTATCTACGTGAGGGGGACTGTAGCTTTAATAGGAAGTTTAGCTGCCAGTACAATTTGTATGGAATGAGTGCTGGCACTACACTGGCAAACGTTTTCCAGCACTATTAACCCTGAAATGCCACTATTGTTGCCCATGCTGCTGAGAACCGCAGGAGTCCTGTTGCAGTGTCCCCATCCACCCTAGCCTCAAACCACCCTGCGCCCTAAACCATGCAAGCACCATGGCTTAATCCTCATCCGAGGTCTTTGCACAGCGCGGAAATAGTGATGAGCTTTGGTTACACTCCTCTGTGAAGCCATGTGGGAGCTTCTCGCACTAGGGTCAGACAACCCCAGATTTTAGGGTTTAGGGATGACAAGCTACTTTGGTGGTCCCTTTTTGAGAAGCTCCCATGTGAGGCCTGACTTATAAAGTTTGGAGGCCTGTGTATTAGTTTCTGATAATCAACTAGGGATGCGTAAGTGTTCCAATTGGATATGAAGGGTTTATTGCATGTGGTAGGGCCAACATATAGAGAGGCCACCAAACTGCTCGAGGCCGGCAGCTTGTGAAAAATCCTCGCTTCCTGCTCATGCTTCCTTTACATGCTTCATGCTACGGGATGTTGGATCAACATGTTCTGAAAGCTCAGACTTCAGTTCCTTTGCGCATTCGTGGAGTGAGTCAACTATCTCCGGCCAGATATCACCAAGGGCTGGCAACAACAGGGGATCGATCCACTAGTCCAGGAAACGTCTTCAGGGTTTCAGGTAGGGAATGTCTAGCGGCCTTTGATGTGTGCAGGTGTTCTCAAGCTGTAGTTCATTGACTTCTAACGGCTTTTTAGAGTCTCAGAGCTCAGAGCATTGGCAAAGCAGTTCACTCAAAGGAGATGCAAAACCAACATGGAACCTACGTGACCGTCATTCAGGGGACGCCTTCTGAACAGCTAGCACACTGGACTGGGTCTTCTTGAAGTCCTCCTTTACCATGTTTTTATTGCATTATTCTGCATAAAAGACAGAGCATGCCCATTGTTAGGTGGTGGGCAGGTGCCTGCACTAAGCCTAATTTTTAATTATATCACAAGAGGACTCTACACTTGCAATGGGATTCTACAGAGGGAGATGGAGGCTACCATTTGGGGGGTTGGGGGGTTTAGGGGACCCTGACCTCGGAACCCTGGACCCTTAAACCCTATACATCCTGGGCGACAAATCCTGAAACCTCTACCCGAAACCCGGTTCAGGGTTCAGCGGTTTAGGCTTAGGGCTTCGGTTGCGTGAAACCTGGTGTCCTATCCGGGCAGAGGGCTTAGGGTTTGTGACTTGAGATTTCAGACCTCAGCCTTGAGCTGCGGGAAAGATGGGAGCAGCGTGAGTTCTTAGCAAGGAATCGCACGTGTGGATTAGGTGTTCGGTGCACGACGCTCTCACATAAGCTTAGACCCTAATCCCTAAAACCCTAAACCCTGAAGCAAAAAATCTAAACCCTAAATAAATCCTAAACCCTAAACCCTAAACACTCAAGGTGAGGTTGGCTGTTGGCTGTGGTGAGGCCGACATTCCGGCAATCTCGACAGGGGTCCACTTGGACACCCGCAAAGACCAAAATCCAAAGCGGGGACCCTCACCTTGTAGGGTGCAGGGTTGGGCCCCTAAAGCTGGGATCCTTAATTTAGGAAACCCCATTTTTAGGGACTACCCTTTCACAAGCTGACAAAGCAGCCCAAAAAGGGCTCCACCAAGACTAGTGTCAATTGGATCTGGAGACCATGTCATGCTTCCTGCAGGGGAAGGTATACATGCTAAACTCTATACATCCGTGCACACCACTATACAATCCCTACCAAACTCCTCACAAGGGGCTTCCATTTCTGTTTGGGGAAGGGAATCCTGAACCCTAATCCCTTAAATGCCGCAACCCTAGACCCAATCCTTAAACCCCAATCCCTAAGCCCTTATCACTAAACCCCAAACCCATCCCTAAACCCTCATCCCTAAACCCCAAATCCTGATCAAATCCCCAAACCCCAAACCCATCCAAACCCTAATTCCGAAACCCCAAGCCCCCTCCTCTAAGGTCAAGCGTGGTATCGTAACAAGGCCGGCGCCCTGGCACCCTAAGCTTGCTGCTGTAGCGTGGGGGGCTGAGGATTAGGATTGAGCGTTTGGGGTGTAGGGATTTAGGGTTTGGGGTTCATGGTGTGGGGTTTAGGGATTTAGGGTTTGGGATTTGGGGTTTGGGGTTTAGGATTTAGGGTTCGAGGTGTGGGGTTTAGGTTTAGGGATTGAGGGCTCAGGGATTTAGGCTCTAGAGTTCAAGGTTTCGCGTTTAGGGTTTAGCGTTTCGGTTTTAGAGTCTAGGCTGAGTATTAGTAGGGAATGAAATGGAAAAGCCAGAAAGGAGCTTAAAGGGCTGAGCTCTAAGTTAATGCGCTCCCCAGAACCACATTCTGCGGGCCACTAGGGAGAATATCTTACACTATGCTCCTGTAGGCTCTTAGACTCCTGGCGGAGGTTTAGAGTTCAGAGCTTGTGCGCACATGGCAACACCCGCTTCGGCATTGCAGTTTCCAAAATTGGCACCTCCATTTAGGCAGCTAACCCTAACTCCTAAACACACTGTCACTAAACCCCCCGTTGTTGGTTTACCTTCAAGGGCGCCACAGCTGTCTTGAAGCGGCTCTTTCTTTTTGGAAGGGCGGTGGAGATACCTTAGGTGGACCCCCCACCCTGTAATGGTGATCCTCTTACAGTCCTATTTTACCAGTATTACAGGATGGGGGGTCCACATAAACCAGCTTCTAACAACGTCGTCGCAAGCAGTTTTTTTACCCAGAAGGTCACAGTACGCAATTATGAGGCAGTTTGGGATTTGGGTAACAGCAGTAATTATTGTGCAGGTTTTGGGTAGGCATATGATTATTGGGTACTTGGACCCTTGGGGTTACAGAGAGAGGCCTGTTTAATTTGAATAGGCCCTTGGCGTACACACTCACTACAGCATGTTGAAGGTTATACATATAGGTCATCAACCAGCACCCGCACTGGCACCCCAACTCCGCGTATTCTCATGTCCCTAAAAGGATGAGCCCCTTCACAAAGGGTATTTCTGAGTCGGGGTCCCACTCATACACAAAACAGTTCATAGGTTGTATTTCAGGGATCTCCAAAAAGGCACCCTTAGTTCGGAAAGTCCCATGTGAGCCACGATCAATATTAGCCTTATTAAGGGACCCTTGAAAGTGGACATCGGGGTCCCTCTTGTAGTTGAGTATAACTCCTAGTATAATCCGTAAGTAAATTATGTAGGCAACATTAATCCCTATAATCCCCTATATAACCCAAGTATCCATTTTATGTTCCATTCTCTTTTCCATTCGATTTTCCATTAGAGTTGTCCATTATGTAGGAAACATTGACTGTATCTCATACTAGCTACAACGCAGGGATCCGGCGGCGGCGGAAAGGGCGGAGGCCGGCGTAATGCAGTGATAGGGGTTCAAGGTTTAAAGTTTAAGGGTTTAGCCTTAGTGTGTTGGGGTTTGGAGTTCAGGAATGTGGGGTTTGAGGTTTAGCGATTTAATTAGGTCCGTGGCTCAGGGTTTTTAGGGCCAAGGATTTAGGATTAAAACTTCGGGCTTACTTCATAGGGAAGCAACGATGTTAGCCCCTTGGAGTGCTGCAATGGCATGCTAGGGGTTTAGGGCTAGAACCCAAATACCCGCACATGGGATCCACGCAGATCCCTTCCGGAGGTACTTGGGGCGTCGTGGTAGGATTTAGGGTTCTGGGTTTTGCGGCCACGAATTTATTTCTTCTTCGTATCACGGTAACAATGATGGGTGAAGCTAGGACCCTCGCAGTTCAACACAAGTTGTGATTGTCATTAGAACTGCCTTAATGCTGTACTCCCTATCTATGACTGGTAGTGGCGGTGGCGAGAGCCCGAGTTCAAGTCTAAGTCTAGGCATTATAGTAAAGGCCATTTGAACGGATGAGGGCCTAAGAAGATTTGAGGATGTTGGTTTGGGTTACCTGCTCATACTTGGAGATTCATGCACAACCCTAAGGGTCCAAGGACCCAAATAATAGGGTTTTAGGGCCCCAAATGCTACTGTATAGTATTAATTGTATTTGGGCCCTAAAACCCTATCATTGGGGTCCTCTATACCCCTTTCTAGTCCCCATATATCCCTATATCCTATAACCCCCTGAAAGGGACCCTCTTATTTGGGTCCTTGGACCCTTAGGGCAATTGCAACCAAGCCACATCCGGAGCCGGTTGCAAAGCCGCGACCACCTCCATCGACTGGGAGCTCGATTGAAAGGTCTAAGCTGTTCTTGTGAAGATAGTCTAAATACCTACATGAATCATTTCTTCGGTCGATATGGAATTTTGTTTTGGGGCCGGCATGAGCTGCGTAGCTGTGCGGCAAACTGGAGGAAAGTGGCAAGGACAAGGGCAACAGAAAAGCAACTGGGGAGCCGCTGGGCTTTGCTTTGGTAAGGTTTAATAAACCCTAAACCCCAAACCCTAAACCCTAAGGTTTAGGGTTTCGCTTTTAAGGTCGGGACTTAAGGTTTGCAGAGGTTCGCAGTGGAGGTTTGCATTTGGGGCTTGGGGTTTGGGGCTGAGGGCTTTGCCTTGAGAACAGCGCGGAGCCGTCGCAGGCAATATCCGGGATGGCTTACGGAGAAATCCCCAAATCACCCTAAACCCTACACCCTAAACCCTTTTGGTCCAGACACTCCGCCAGGTCGATACGGGTATGAGAGGTGATCCTTGGGTACTGCACCCACTCATTAACACCTGGATCATGTTCATAGAATAACCATACCCTAAAGGTCCAAGTACCTAATAACCATATACTTACCCAAATCCAGTACTAAAATTACCCTTACCCAAATCCCAAGTACCTAATAATTGGGTACATGGACCCTCTGGGATATAGAGCCCTTAATGCGACCTCAAGTATAGACTGTTCATGGGTCGGGGCAGGACCTAAATTAATCCTTTCTTACTGATATTAAACGCTCCCCACCCGTAGCCCGTGTCCCGCAAGATGTAAGATCTCTTATGGGAAATAGAAATAGTTGATATTCAAGGGTGGGTGGGACGTGTTTAACAATACTATGAAGGGCTTAACTGTTTCGGTTCAGGCCATACATCATTATGTACGTACCGGAAAAAGAAAAGTTAATGGTTGGCATGTTAAGGCTTATGATGGAGCTTACCGGAGTCCATCTTGCTGAGTTGGTTGTTCTTTTGTCTTCGACTTATCCTCCAACCAATCCCACATCACAAGTCAACAGTCCTTAATGCCAGGGCATCAGCACCAGTATCGGAAGCATAGATTTTAGAATGAACGTGGGCTTTTGCATTGCAGGACCGCTTTCTTGCTCTGCCAAGTGTCCAGTTTTCTTACGGGTCCAGGTTTTTTGTGTATACTTTAGTATGCCCCTAAACCCTATAAACCCTTTCAAGAGTTAACGTTCATAAGAAGGCACCCTTCACATAAAAACAAATGAAGAGTTTCTCAGGGTGATTTAGGTCTTAGCTGGAGGCACGGGGTGTTAAGGGGAGGGATATAGGATCCATAAACCCTAAACCGTAAAACCTAAACCCTAGACCCTAACAAATCCGTGGCATCCCAGGACCAGAAGTCCAACGGCGACTGGCAAAAGAATGATTCTGGGGCCTGTCATTGCCGCCCTTTTCTCGGGGCTTTTTGTGTAGTTACGTGGATTTCTATATCCTAGCCATTCTTGAGGGTTACCTAAGTTTATGTTTTGTCTCTTCTGTTCACGAAAACAGGGTACCGGCAAAACTCCCAATGATGGTGGCCCCTGAGTTCCCACCGCACGAAACTAAATGCTAGGGGCCATGTTATGTAAGAGGCTGCCTACAACACTGGCAATGTTGAAGCAGCGTTCTAACACTCAAGACATCATAGACCCAGGACACTGCTCCACTCAGTAATGGTTGAATAATAGGTGGGAAGACAAACAAATTAAGCCCTACGCTTAGGTAGATTGAAGTTGATTGAAGACACTGCTGGGTGGGGGCAGCACCCAATCTAAACCCCAAGCTAAGGGCCTCATTGACATTGTCCCTAAGATGTCCAACAAAATGGTGTTTTTTCCCTTCTGGGTGGGCTCCGTATATGGTAGTTTCCCAAAACAAGGGGACCCGAAATGTTATACTCCTACTTATTATAGGGACCCCAAAAAGGGTACCCCTAGTTTTGGGAAACCCCCATATTGCCTCCTGTTTCGGCCCCGACTCCATCTAGACCTTCTGCGGTAGTGCGTGTTTTTGAGCACTTTCTCGTTTTCCAAAAAAGTTCGGAACAAGGTCAAATGAAGTACCTAACAAAATCACCATATTCGGAGTGCTGGCCCCAATAGTAGCCCCATATGAGCCATTGTCTAAATTCCTAGTATCCCCCTTAATCGCCCCTATAGTAGTCCCTTATATAATCCTATATATAACCCCCCTTTAAGGAGTTTAGACTATAGCTCATATGACCTTTCCATATCTTAGATCCTAGCATCCCGAGAGCCTACTACGTCGTTCCTTCGTTTCTGGGTAGGAGGGGGGGGGGGTTCATGTAGGTCTAGGTTTATTTGGCTCGGGATTTCGGGATGACTAAGCGGAAGGCCGAAAAGCTAAGCCCCCTGACCTTCTCCGAATGATGCTGGTTAGGATTGGCGATCGAACAACAGACAAGATTGGGGCCAGCGAGACGATTGGAAGCAGAAGAAGGAGACTGGACTTGATGTTGCTTTTTGCTCAGCAGCTGTTGTTCAAGTTGCATGGGCTTATTTGAATTGTACAGTTCCTTGCTGGGCCTAGTTGTAGTGCTCAGGGTTTGCACGAAAAGGATTGAATTGTGTTGGGGGTGGGGGGCTGGGATAGAGGAGATCCATCATTTGTTTCAACAACTGAAGTCTCTCTAAAAGGCTCGTAAAGTAGATTCGAGTGTTGGAAGCAGCTCAAAGATGGAGAGGGTTTTGGGTTAACAATTCAGCATTAAGCCACACTGTGCTAGCTAATCCCCAACATAAAAGCCTGAATGCATTATACCGTAAACCCTACACCCCAATGTGGAAGCCTGAACCGCTACAACAAGTGTTCCTTGAGTAACCCTGACTTTTATAGCGCATATGATATAATATGGCCCATAGGATATAGCCCATAGCTCTATTCCAACTGCTGGGTTGCCGTTGAAAAACTTTTTCAAAATCACTACAATAAGAAACCTCCATGCCCATTATTTACTATATACCCCTTAATCCATTTAGACTCTTTAGCAGCAACCCAGACATAGCAGGTCCCCGTGTTCCATCGTAAAACCTTGGACCTCAACAATCATAACATGGCCTAATCTCGAATTTGGGATTTCGCGTTAGGTTCAACAGCTGGGAAACCCCAAAAGGAATCTCATATACCCTTAATGATATCTAATTAGGTGGGGCAACATGTATTGCATCAATCCCTAAACCCACAACGCGAAGCCCTTCAGCTCAAAGCATGAGTTTTCCCAGCCCGAAACCTCTCTGGCTTCAAACTCTTAAATGCAAGCCGAACCGCAATGGCCCAAGTGTTGAAAGGTCATATACTTCCTGGAAGCCTTGGCTACGATGATACCCACGTAGAAAGGATGTGAAGTACTTGGCTACAATTGACTCAACAGACACTAGGCCGTAGTCGTCCGAAGCCTAGTCTCTGACCCTAATCCCGGTATTATTATTGGTAATACTCTTATTTGTATTACCATTTTGACTCATAGCCGGTAAAGAGCCCAATTCCGTAGACGTGAGCGAGAACCCTTTCACCCTAATCCCTAACTCAGGGACATTCCGAACCCTTCCCCGCTGCATAAAGTTCTCCTGAATCAGCCTTGCTCAATTACAAATAAGCTGAATTTTAAAGGAGAACCTTGGGCAAGGGTAGTTAAGGGACTAACGCTTGTTTGCCAAGCCCAGGACTGGAAGCAGGATGATTGGCCGAAGAAGGAACCGGCTTGATCACCACAATCCCCCTGGGTTCAGGTTTCCCTAAACCTTAAACCTAAGCCCTTAATGGGGTCTTAGTTTAGGTTCCCAGGGAGTCTAGGTACCAAATATGTGTGTTCGCAAGATTTGGGCTGTGATACTTCCCAGCATACGTTCTGGGGAAGCTTGTTTTTTGGATCCTCAGGGCTACATTTGTGCGGGCCTGCGTCTTCCTGTCAGCGACCTGTGAAGGATTGGAACAAGTCACAAAACTGGAGCAAGCAAGATGACAACTCATCGCCGCTTGCCCAAAGTTGAGCTGGGTTGGGTCTTTCATAAGATCGGGCCGCTGTGGATGCTGGGGATGTGTAGAGAGGAATTCTTGAATACCTCTCAAGAATTATGTAGGGGTAGTTGTCAAAAACTCCAAGTTTCCACTCGCTTGAGTAGTGTCCTTGGAAAGGTATACCATAGTTGTTGATATGGGGTACGCTTATGGTTCTCCCATGGTTGCAGTTGTAGTACTTCATAATACAATCCTACTGAGTTCAACCAGCAAAACAAACTGCTCGCTTGTGAATGTCTTCGACCCTCGCCCCAATGACGGGACTCCAGGGCTTAGGGTTTCGGGGCCTTCCCTAGCTCTAAGGGTCAAAGTACTCACGTATCGGGGCTCCAGGTCTCAAATACCATTTAGAGAATATACTTTGGGACCTAAACCTAGACCCGCCAACTACCCTCTATTTGGGCCTAAGTACCCATGATAGGGGTCATATAGCCCCCCACTAAGGGTACTAGGGCATGTGGAGACTAAGAGTAGCTACCATCCCCCAAGCTCACATGAGCTATAGTCTAAACTCCTTTAAGGGGGTTATATAGGGGATTATATTGGGGACTACTATAAGGGTTATTAAGGGGGATACTAGGAGTTTAGACTATGGCTCACATGGCACCCCATTTTCTAGGGTTTAGGGTTTAGGGTTGAGGTTTAGGGACAACTATAATGGCCTTTGAGGGACGTTTTTTGGGCGTTTTCATGTCAGTTTGGGGACCGCAAGTCCCTAAAAGTTCTAGACAGTTTTGGGTTTATGGTTTAAGGCTGTACTGTTGGTGGACCGAACCCTGCAGGACCTGGATTGTACTCTGGTACTAGCTTCTGAAACGTGTCATGTGGAAGGCTGAAAGACAGATTCTTTCTGTAACCCCTGTGTAACTGTACAGGTACTGTAGTGGTCAAAATATTGCTCCAAATCCTATGCTGGTTATTTCGGTTCCTGCGTTACGTGCTATCTCAGGGTCCTGTAAAGCATTGTCCATATCCGATAAGGATGGAGAGATAAGTAATACTTGAGAGAAAAATCCTTGCTTGGTGCGTCCACTAATACCCAGACTCAAAAGGGGAACCGTATGCAACGACTTGGAGGTTCACGGGTAATGACCAAAGTCGTCCTATTCAAAACCCCAGGCATAACTACCCGTGAAGCCCCATGCAACGCCTAATCTCAGGTGGAAGCAGGGTGATTCCTGGGGCCAAGACAACTGGAAGCAGAAGGACCGTCCACAGGGTCCGGGGGCACCAACGCGGGGTACCTCAAGAGCCATTTGTTTATGGGAATGCGTGCAGTTGGGTAGAGCGGGTTAGGTTAAAGGACTTGGAGATTTAGCCGGAGGGCTCCAAGTACCTTATAATCATATACTTACCCAGAGTCTGTACTACTACCATTGTCACCCAAAGTCCCAAGTATCTAATTGCTGGCTACTTGGACCCTCAACCCTACCCCCTAAACTCCGTATATCCCCAAAGACCCCTACATATTCCTTTCGCGGGGCCTACTTTTAGGGTACCCCTAAACCCTAAACCGTTAGGTGCTTAGACTCTGGTAGGGGTGGAGGAGCTGAGAGCTTTAGAGCTTGTTCCGCGCTTGTCATGTTTTAAGTTACCCTAAGGGTCCAAGTACCCAATAATTAGGTCCTCTTTTAAAGGGGGATATATAGGGGTACATAGGGGTATATGGGGGTGTATGGGGTTTAGGGTTTAGGCTCCAAGTACCCAATAATTAGGTACTTGAGCTTTGAGTCATAGTGATGTTAGTGCGGGTTTTGGGCAAGTATATGATTATTGGGTGCTTGGACCCTTAGGGTTACAGGTCTACAGTAAGGCCCGGGCGCTGTCCGCACATCTTCCGAAACAATGCCGCATCAAAGTTCATTCGTCAGAATTCTCTGCTGTCTGTATGTTCCTGGTGTTCGTGTTTAGATTCGTAAGGTGGAGCTCAGGTACTGAAAGTCAGGCTTTCTCACCTCTTTGCGTCATTTTCTGGATCTCCAAAAGATACTCCAGATCATGTTCAGGACGTAGGGGGCGAGGAATAACTGTTGAACTACCATGCACTCCATAAGATCATGCAGATTCCCTGTTGTCTTTGATGTGTTCTTTGTTTGGGATGCCAGGTTTTGAAGTGATGCACTGGCAAGACCACCAAACTGACATGTGCTCTGTATTTCCGTAGGAGAACTCCCGCGGACTCCTCCTGAAACTCTACAAGGTCCCCATATAACCCCTACACAGCCCCCGGGAGAAATCGTTAAACCCTATATAATCCCTACATATCCTTTATATACCCCCTATAGTACCAGTGAGGTTCGTAAAAGGACCACCTCAACTAACCTCAGTTCTACATGCTCGTCGGCATACTGGAACCCAAGAGAAACCCTTTGTGATGACATATCATGCCAGTGCAGAATGTTGATCCTTGTCCCTTTGCGTTGTTGGATACGACTTGAGTGTAGGGTTCATGGTGTTTTAGTGTTTGGGGTTTAGGGTGCTACTTTTGGTACTTTAGCAACCCTCCCTCTCCCCACCACCCTGACAATAAATGTTGGCCCCACCATAATATGATATTGCGTTGGGACATGTTGGGAACGTTTGTTATAACGGCTTGGTGTTCCCAAGCCCGAAACCTTAAACCCCAAACCTTAAACCGTATGGGGATCAAGCAAAGGTGTTCTTTAGAAGATGTTCAAATCTGGGCTCGAGTGGTAGGAGTCTACCTGGCAGTCCGACAACAAGCAGGAGCGGGGTGATACTAGGGTTATTGGGATAATGGAAAATACAACGGAAGCTACTGCTTGGGGTTTCGGCTTTAGCGTCGGATAGCCAACAAAGGGGAATTTTCAATATTTCCTCTGTGCAAACACTTGTGCGACCCCCATAGTCTCTTGTGTTGCCCGTGTACTTCTGGGGTCCAACTGCCACATGAGCTATAGTCTAAACTCCTAGTATCCCCCTTAATAACCTCTATAATTCTCCCTTATATTAGCCCTCATATAACCCTTTAAGGAGTTTAGACGAAAGCTCATATTGCAATTCCTAGCAGGTAGGATAGACAGGGTAGTGAAGAGTTTCCTCAGTGGACCCTACTGTATCATTTGGGTTGTGGGCGTGAGGCGTTCGAGCTTTGAACGCTTTGCCATGCAAGGTACAGGCCAGTACTGGGCTAAGAATCCAAACATGAAATTTGCACCTTCAAGACCTGGACATTGGCTTATTCGCATACTGACTGTTAAAACCCTCTTACGAGACATGATTTTCAGAATGCCCGACCTAAACTCTTAACCCTGAACCCTGAGCCCTACACCCTTAACCCTGAACTCTAAACCCTAAACCCTGAACTCTAGACTCCAAGGTGGTTTCTTCATCCGGGGGCCTGCAGCACCAGAACTGAAACCCGAGGTACAGCTCCAGACCCAACACCCGAAACCACAAATCCCCATCGCTACATAGAGTAACCTATTTACCTGACCAACTGGATTTTGTACCTCATGCGTTTGCATCTGCATTATGCTAAAGTTTCTAGTTACTTGAGTTAAGCCTTTGCCTGGCCCCTTGAAATTGAAGGATATTGGACGATTCTCTTGCTTACTCTTGTCTTCCAGCTACTTCTGAACCCTACCCCGAACTCCATTTTCCTCCGGCCTCCTAGACGGAACTCCCTTCTCAGCCTACTACAGGGCCTAAAATAATTCCCAAGGCCATTGTCCCAGTGTGATTAGTGCAGCTGCCTCAAATCAACCTTAAACTGAATTTTGTAATTATTTAGGCCCCTAGATTACATCATCCCTATAAACCCGTAAATCGACCCTTCATGTTCTTGTCCATTGAATTGTAGACATTGTCATTACCTAAACCTCAAAAGTATGTAAAACAATAGACCCATAATGACAGCCATAAAGGCCATTAGTTTATATACTTTTGGGGTCCAGGCACAAGCTAAACCTTATATACCCCTATATTCCCCCTATAACCCCATTAGTTTTACATACTTTTGGTCATTAGTCACTACAGTGCAGCCCATGAACCCTAAACCCTAAACCCTAAACTCTACAGTGCAGCCATGAATGAAGGCTTGGGGCGGCCAGTCCAACTCGAGCTGGTCCTACAATGACTCAGGCTCGCATTGAGTTTACCCTAAGGGTCCAAGTACCCAATAATTAGGTCCCCTTTTAAAGGCATATACATAGGGATATATAGGGTTTAGGGTTTAGGCTCCGAGTACCCAATAATTAGGTACTTGGGTTTTGGGTGATAGTGATTTTAGGACAGGTTTTGAGTAAGTATATGATATTTGGACCCTTAGAGTTACACGGGTTTCATGTTAGGGCTGAGGTGTCAAGGTTTAAGGTTTAGAGTCTCTGGCTCCACGGTCCAGGGTTTCGGGTTGTAAGGCTTCAGACATTCTGTCAGGATTTGCGTTATAGACGAAACAGACATGGAGTGGCAGTCGTCTTGCGTGTATGAGCATGTGTGTTTGTTTGGGTTATACCGAAAATCTGAGTCCTAGTCTGGATCCTAAGCCCTATACATCCCTGCTCCCATGATGTGATTCCTAAGTCCGCCTTAGCATTTTGCACGGGGAGTCGTGAGATTTCCCCACTGTTCTGGGTTTTAGGCCCTGCAGGGTTTAGTGTTGGTGTCTGATTTTCACGTCAACTGCCCAACCAGAACCATAGCATTCGAAAGCTTATGAACAGTACGCAAAGAAGCTGCCAAACCTGGTCAGTCTGAAATGGGTCCGCAGCTAGAATTGGCACGGCGCCCACAACTGCCGCCATGCATCAAATTGGTGAGAATGTCTCAGAGCTACCTAAAAGGGTCGCCCCGTACATTTACATGTTACGAATGAATGCAGGACATGGACTAGGTAAGCATCAGCCAAGGACGGATTTACTTCAAAGAGTCCCAGAAATAAATGTTCAACACAGGCGCGTGACATACCCCTCGCTGCCTACATGGAACAGATTGTGTCTCAGTGGCCTTTGCAGATCCAAGGATATGTTGCTTGTGGGTCAGGTGCATGTTAGTTGTTTAAAGAAATGAAGCCATCATGCGTCATTGTTTTGAACATATGTGCTTTTCCAACTTCCAAGCTCCTTTCCCCCGTGATGGGAGTTTACACTTCCCCAAGACCATACCCCAGGGCTCCAAATAGCCCAACGTAGGTACCATTTATAAGCATTGGGGCCCAATGTAGGTATCTTTTACAGACATGGAGCTCCAGGGATAATGAGAGCTTCATATATCCCATGTTTTTATCTTCTAAGCGGGACTACAGAGGTCAATGCATCCGACTCCTTGGTCACTGAGAGTCCACAGCTTGTTCCCGCTGCCAGGTCATGGTGCCCAGCAGGAGCAGCAAGAAGAGCCTGGCCCCCTTCTGTTTCAGCCGTAGGGGAAGTAGTGAGATTGGGGATGCTTCGTGCTTATATATAGGGGTCATGTCGGGATTGTATAGGGGTTATATAGGGTCTATATAGGCTTCGAAGGTTTCCGCAAGTAGGATGTTACCCCGATAATGGAGAATCAAAAGAAAAATGAAATTGGAAACTGGGGTTGCGCAGGGGTGGTTCATAGCGATCACGGGTTTCCAACAATTAGGGTATTCTTTTAGGTGGGTTTAGGGTTTAGGGTTATTTACAATGGAGACATAATATGTTGAGGCTCCTGCTTCTGAAGCCCCCATGTGGTTTCAATTCGGGTGGGTTTCAATTATTGGGGGGGGTACTTTTTGCGGTCTTCTTTTTGGCTGGGCGGATACACGTTGGAGTCTTCTTCGGGGCCGGGGTCTACATTGGGCCCGTCTTTGTTGGATACGTTCATGTGCAATCACAGGGAGGGGTAAGGTTTACCAAACAAGAAGCACCATTCGGTTCGGGACCTACAAGGGTCCAAGTAACCAACCATTAGACACGTGGGGCTTAGGCAATAGTAATTAGGTATAGTACCCTGTTACTTAGTACTTGGACTAAACCATAAACCCTAAACCATATACCCCTATAGATCGCCTTTGGAGGGATATAATTATAAGGTACTTGGACCCTTCGGGCTTCGTTAGTAGAGCGAACATTGCCCTGGTTAGGGGAGATTCTCTACCTGCACATGAGCCTAAACGCAGTTTAATCGGTCATTATATATGGTTTGGGGTTCAGGGTCTAAACTCCTGACAGGGGGGTTTTATAAGGAATATTTTAGGGGTTACCATTTCATTCACGGATTCACGCATTGGAGTTTCGGCTTTGGGCGTTGGGGGTTCAGGTTGCGAGTTCTGGGGATAGTATATGGTTGCAGTTGAAAAAGTGCAGCTAGCGTGTTTTTGATTTTGTTCTCGAACTTTATAGTTTTGAAAACTGTCATAGGGCATGGCAGGATCAGTCGAGTGCCAAGTGAAACAGTCAAACTGGATGACAAAATCTTGAAGATTGTTGGCTGCCGCAATCCCAACTGAGAAGGTTGGGCACCCCCTTTTGCATGTAAAGGGTTTCGGGTTTAAGGTTCAGGGTTAGCTTTTAGGGTTATACCCATAGAGATGTAGGGATTGTGCCGGAAGGTCTTCTTCCTTTTTAACCCTCGCCAACCTAAATCATTCAAGGGCGTGGCCTGGCGAATTGGTTCAGGTGCCTCAAACCAAAAGTCGACAGCGAATCTCATACCCTGGGTTGTGGCTCCCAAAGCTGTCCATGATTCCGAACCTTCTATTGAAATTAGGGTGTAGGGTTTAGGGGTTTAGGGTTTAGGGTTTAGGGTAGGGTTACATTGGGTTATACAGGGTGTCTAATTGATATGATGGCCACTAAGTTCAAGCTACTACATATTTAGGGTTCAGGGTGATGATGCCCCCAAAGTCTTCTTCCTTGCCAGACCCCCAATACATAGAAAGGTCCAGTAGGGTATAGGGTTTCGGGTTTCAGACATTCCGGTGTAAGTTTTTACTTGTCCTGGCGGCCACAGAAGCGTTTAAGTGTGGGGTGAATTTGTTTAGTATAAACTGTTCACTGATCATGTCCCTGGTTAACAATTGCTGCCATCGCTTAGATGTGCTTTCTTCGTGTGGGTGCGTCAACACCCCCAAGTTTTTGAGTGCCTAAGATTGAGTGAGGGAGCAATATAGGCGCCAGCATATATGAGGCTTTATATGAGCCATTAGCCTGACTCCTCTCACTCTCTCTACCGTCTAAACGGCAGAAGCTAAGCACGACGGGTTTCAAGGGTTGAGGAGGGTTTAGCTGTTCGGCGCATGCGCATGAAAGTTTGCCAGCATGTAAGGTTACGAAACCACGCACCACAAGCGTGCCACTCTGGATTGTTGTTTTAATTTCTCTCTGCGCGAAAAAGTGAAAAGTAGCTGGCAGCAATCATTAGGAAATATCCGCCGTAGTCGTTGAGTCTACACATCAAAAACGTTATGCTGCAGTCCCTACATTCCTTACCCAAAGGGTCGAAGTACCGAACGAATAATCCCTACCCCAAACCTGTACTATCACTACGGCTACCCGAAGCCCAAACAACGAATTCTTGGGTACTTGGACTGTCAGGCTTACCCGGAGGGTTATAACCCTGATTCCCAAATCCCGCTACACCCTACACCCTACCTTTGACCCCAAAGACCTTCAGTTTTAAGATTTCATATGCAGAATTATACTGTAGGGTCCTAAAACTGAAGGTCTTTTGGGTCTAAGGTAAACTTTAAATCCTAAAACATCCAATCCGAAACCCTAAGCCCCTCGGGGTTTTAGGGTGTAAGAACCATGAGGTTGCACATACTTGGGGCCGTGGACTCAGCCCACCATGGGTTTTCCAAAGATTCTCCAGGGTTTAGAGCGTTGGTCATAGTCTAAGGTTTTGATTTTAGGGTTTAGGGTTGAAGGTTGTGTGTTCTGTCGGGACTGGAGGTCTTGACTTTAGGTAGTGATGCACATTTGAGAAGTCAATTTATCTGAGCCCCACCTTTTTCGCACATGCCAGATCGCCGACGTTAGACTTGGCAATTAGTGTGGGTGTCTAGGACTTCAGCTTTACTATCCGCAGCTTGCCTTCTGGGGACTTAGTCGGATTTGCGGGTGTATTCTTGAGCCGTGACCCGGGGTCCTGGGATTTGGATTCAATCCTAATAGGGTTAGGGTCTAGGGTTTAGGGGGTAGAGTGGTCAAACCGAGCCCAACGCGCCACTTGCAAATGACGGGGGCCGGGCGTCCTTACCATGAACATGCTCTGGCTTTGGAAATTCCAAAAAGGCACCTCACCTCAACATGATGATTGTCATTTTCCAGGTCCCTACATTGCACCGTTTTGTTCTTACCGCACGAAATGAAAGCTAAAGCTCAATAAGGAATGTGAAGCCAAAAGCTTACCATCCCCAACAAAGGAGCCAGTATAGATGTTTGGACCTTTATAGATGTCAACTTGGGCAAGTAAGGCTATCAGATGGACCCGCCTCATGTTTTATACCCCTAAGGGTCCATGTACCCAATAATTAGGTACTTGGGATTTGGGTTATAGTAATTCTAGTACAGGTTTTGGGCAAGTATATGATTATTAGGTACTTGGACCCTTAGGGTACCTTTTGCTCGCACTTGGCCTCTGCACTCAGCCCCAGCACCCTAATGCCCTAAGCTCCAGCTGACGGAGAAAAATCAGAACACAGGGTTCCGAAACAACTTTCATCTTCAGCTTTATGGTACTCCCGCGTGGTGCGAGATGTCAGCTATGGAGCTCGGCAGTACAAGCACTAATTGGACACCAAAACCTTTTCAGCCCTGAACCCTAGGCCTCAACTTCTGAACCAGAAACTCTTCAACTGTGCACCTTATGTGCTGCAGCCAAGGGCGCGCCAATGTCCGAGTCTTACGACTTCGGCTAGGGTTCAGGGTTGAGCTGGTCGGCCAATGTCACGGGCTCTTGTGGTTTGCAGCGTGTTGGCCATGAAACGTGGCCGAATCTCGAGAAATATTCTGTCAAGGACCCTCAGGAGGAAGTCTTGGTTTTGGAAACTTGGATCCTGCACGGGGTTTGCACAGGGAGAGTGTGAGGACAATCAACAAAGTTCGGGGCAAAAGGTTGCATGTGCTAGCAAATCTACATACCTTAGCCAAGCCAAATGGAAGTTTTTAGAAAAGAGGGGGCCCCAATATAGACCCCCAAATATCATGATCCTTACGAGAGGGACCCCTAAAAAAGGAGCTCTCACTTTGGCAATCCCCGAAATGTCTGACAGTGTTTAGGCCGCGTTCAAAAAGACAGTGTGGTCTTTGTAGGCCCAGTTGCCTGGGGTCTGTGTTTGCTTGGGGGAGGGCATGTGCTATGATGTTGTGGGTAAGTATGTAAGGTTATAAAGCACTGGGTAGCTCAGGCCATTTTAATTTCGTTACATCACAACTTTACCTGCATGTGCGTGGTTTTCAAAGTATCCATCATTGACACTTGGTTGTTCCTATGACGCTGTAGAGGGGGATTGAGCCGTGGCGTTCACGGAGGCAACCGGCAATTCTAAGAAAATGCCACCTGTTGGATCCCAAAACAATATCCTAAACCCAAACCCTCTAACCCTTCAAGGCAACAGCCAAAGCCCGAAGCCTGAAACCTGACGCGCTCGGTTGGAAATGGGGAACTGATCTTTCCTGCAGCTCTCAATACAATGATCCCCATGAGGACACGGATTGTCGTCCCAGAACGCTTTCCCCTAAACCCCAAACCCTAAGCCCTAAAAAGAATAGTAGCTTCTCCATTATCCCAATATACCCCCCATATGCCCCTTACCCTTTCTGGGGGGTACCGGATAAGAAGCTTCGAGTACCAAAGTATGCTTCGAAGTTGTCACGTGTGGAAGGCTCTCCATGGATGAAGCCGCTCGGTCCATCCTGCTGCGCTTACCATAGTGCGAGGGCATGATAACATATCCCTATCTTCTTGAAATATAAACAGGCTTAGAAGTTAAGGAATGTTTAGGGATTTGGTTGTCGAGATATGTCGAGATCGCCAGAGCGCAAGGTGTCTTTGGACAGCTCGGAAAGTAAGCACGTGATGTTGCTTGGTCCTTCTGAGCTTCTGGGGGGGGGCCTATGCGGGGTAGGCTTGACGCTGTTGAAAGCTAGTGCCTTGACTCCTCCATTATCTACTAGTTATGACTAAGCTGTAGACCCATGCATGATTGACAGCCATGCAGACTTTCATATATTAACAGTACTAGTCCCAGCATGTGCATAGGAACCGACCTGAAGCAAAGTATGCCCCACGTAGACTGTGAGACATACTTCGGCTGTTGATGCTAACGAGGCTGCATGGCGATGATTGCTGAATACTTTGGCTGCGGTATACCCGAGTTCCTGCGGACCCAGGAAACAAAACACCTAAGTTGTAACCTGGAAGTATTCTAGTCTCTTCTATTTGGTGCTATAGATAGCACAACCTGCCTAGGGCCTAGTGCAGGATGCCATTTGGGTCAGGAACCCAGCTCAGACCCACTTTGCCTCAAGAGAAAACAACTGACCTTGAAGCACAGCACCGAGAAGGGTTACACCACAGCACTCGAAGCTGGCAGGATTGCTTCTCAATACAACGACCCTAAGTTTGTGCTCTTAAAGTTCGTATACCTTGTGGTTTGTGGGAACACAAGCAATTACCCTCCTTAAAGGCCACATACCACGGCTAAGGGCTTAGGGATCCAAACCAGCGGGTGCAAACCCCAGGGCAACAAAGGAATACTCCTCGACAAAACTAGAAGGTAACGGCTTTGCTGCAAGGCGCCGAGAACCCTGTGAAAGAACCTGTCGTGATCTAGTATTACACTCCCCCAAACTAACATGGAAACCCATATAGCCCCCTCTGTAAAAGGACTGTAGTCTTAATAGGGCCCTCTTTGGGTTTCCATGTTAGTTTCCGGGAGGCTACTAGCCACCTGAGGGCTCCAAAGGAAAGACCCGCCGGCTTCGAACGAAAACGCACCTGTCCCCTGGGGGCGATTCCCAAAATTAGGGCTGGCTGTTGCGGGTTCCCCATGTAATCCTTACATTGGGTTGCGGGGGATCTATATTGGACCCCCTCATTTATGGAAGCTATCCTGTTAACATATCTGGTCAAATCATGATACGCCTGACCGGCGCTCAAATTTCCATGGTGGCTTATGTAGCCCTAACGCTCCAAGTGCCCAATGATTTTATATTTGGGGTTTGGGTAATGGTACTTGTAGTGCAGGTTTTGGGCAAGTATATGGTTATTTTCGTGCTTGGACCCTTAAGTTAGATATGAGCCATAGTCTAAACTCCTAGTCTCCCCCTTTATAACCCCTACAATAGTACCCTATATAATCCCCTATATAACCCCCTTTAAGGAGTTTAGACAGTAGCTCATATGGACTCCACATGGGCTCCTTTTAGGCTCGGGATTATTGTGATTTGGAAAGCTTCATGCGTGAAAATAAAGAAGCTCAAAGTGGGTGAGTCAACTCCTCCATAGAAGTGTGCAGAGTCAGCGACCGTCCCCAACAAAGATTGCCTGGATGTGGTGCAAATTCGCACCGGCCTGCGTCCCTAAAACATAAACCCTAAAAGGCCTAGCCCCAAGGGTCCAGCATACAATGATCATCTCCTGGGACAATGAGAACTGAATCACCCAGAAGATGATGACCATTGTATACCGGACCCTTGGAGGAGGCCTTTTTTGGTTTAGGGCTTAGGCTTGTTAGGCTTTGGGGAACATAATTGAATGTATGACAAGCATATACTTGGGACCCTGAGGGGTATAGTCCCCCTGAAGTAGATAGAATATGGGGTATATGGGGATCTTATTATACTACACCCCGAAGCCAAAGCCATATTCTGTCTACTTCAGGGGGACTATAAATGTTAGTTCAGATCAAAGCATTTTGCGTAGGACTACGTTGCCCTCCAAGCCCCATGCACTGCCATCATCCAGAGTGCTACGCTATGCAACACCTCGGCGAAGAACCCCCTTACACCTTAAACCCTAAACCCTAAACCTAAAGTTGGAAAACAAAAAATGAACTTTAACCATAAACCTCAAGTTCTAAACCCTAAACCCCAAATCTCAAGTTCGTACCAACTCAAACTCTCAGCCCTAAATCCCCAAACTGAGCCCCCCCAATATCCTACACCCTAAACGCCGCACAACAAACCCCAAACCCGAAACGAACATCCTAGGGCCTAAGCCCAAATCCCAAGTAATTAGTATTCGGGGGCAGATGCTAGGAGTTTAGACTATAGCTCATGTATTTTTAGACCAAAAGCATAATTCCCAAACCCAACACCGTACCGAGACCCCTATAACCCTCACCCTTATGAGGGGTGTCGTCTTTACATACCAATTCAGGTACCCTTGAGAAAGGTAACTCCTACATCCTATTTCCTGAACCCTGAATTGTGTAACGCGCCAGGGAAGCTGAGGAGATCGAAAGACAATGGGGCAAATGTTGCCCGGCAGAACCTTCATCCAAAGAGATCAGTACAAGTTTTACCCGAATGTTTAGGACCGTTTAGGAAGGGGGTTTAGGGTTTAGGGGTATTTGATGAATCCAAAATTTCGGGATTGTTTGAAATGAGCCATGGAACTCAGGAATATTGTTTTTACCGCTTGGATTGTACTTAGACCAGACAGAAGCATGAAGCGCCTTGTTGAAGTACGGGGTATGGGGTTCCCTGTCCCGTGGTTTAAGGGGTAGGGTTTAGGGTTGAGAAGATAGGGCAAGAGGATTCACGATAGCAACTAAGACTATGCTAATGTTGTCCACGTCTAATGCCAGCGTCTCGTAGCACATGGCTACTGAATTCAACAAGGGTCAGGTCAGGAGCTTAGAATTCCCTACTGCTCCCCTTGCTCCCTCCTGAGTTCGACTTTGTAGGGTCAACTTCAGCTGACTAAGCCTAACTGGGAGCGGGTAGCCCCCATAAGTTTAGGGATTGGAAGTTTTTCTTTCTCAAAATACCGCACTTTGAGGAAGAGGGTTCATTAGCATGCAGCCTTGGAGCATTTATACACTAAGGACCCACAAGGGCCTAGTTGGCCCTTAACCACGACACACAGGAGTGGTGATATGTGGTTCCCTAAGGGTCCAAGGACCCAAATAATAGGGTTTTAGGGCCCAAATACCATTGATATTGTAGTATTTGGGCCCTAAAACCCCGTTATTTGGGTCCTTGGACCCTTA